TTTTTTTTTTTTTTTTTTTTTTTTCAGATCGTATGATGAACCATTTTGTGGAGTGTATGTATCCCATTTTTGTCAGGCTGATATTTTAATTGCTTATAAATTTGCTGTGCTTTTGTTCAGCAAATGGCTTCTCTGTACATAAAGTGATGCTTGGAGATTCGACCTGCATGCTTCTGTTAACTTGTGACTTGTGTACTTGTTCAGCACTTGCCTGTGTGCAGGAGTCCTTGGAGTCTGTAGCAGCATCAGTGTAGCTGATGAGCTACTGCTCTATCTGCAGCCATTTAGCATATGAAATCTGATGTGTGTACATGTAATAAAATACCATTATCAGATTGGAAAGTGTTAACTCAGCTGCAATGTTTTGCAGTATTTTAACTTCAAATATATAACTGTTAAAAGAAAGATGCTTCTCTTTTATACTTTATTTTTAGGAGCCAGGGGATCTTTTAGGTTTAAACATTGAATTTATTTACAAATGTGTGAGATGAGATGCAGATTCTTTGGATAGAGCCTTAAATTAACATTTGGCTATGCTGAATGCCACGCAGTAGCTCTTTAGGTGTAAAAGTTCCTTCATGTTTTATATAATTTCTTGCTAAAGAGAGAGGATTTAGTTGTTACTTTGATTTATGAATCTGCTATACCTCTAAATTTAAGTTACTGCATTCTTAGAAGAGACTTATTTCAGATCTGATTTACAGCATGAAGGAACTGGAACTGCTGTATGAAAGAGGGCAAGCTACTTAAAATCAAAGGCCGCTTTTTGACGGCCTTCTCTAGCTTTGCTCAGCATCTAACATTTCCACCCCTTGAAATTCAGTGGTGATTTTATTTATAAATAAAATCCTGTAGGAAATCATCAAGATTTAAGGACCTATGCAGATTGCTGAGACAAAAGATTACCAGTAAGTCCGTAATAAATACTATAATGCTTTATATAAGGCTGTTTTCTAATGGGTGTGGATTTATTGCAGTACTAAAATCCTAGCAGCATGTGTTATAGTATGTGGCACCATGAGTTACAATAAGAAATACAACAAAATGGATTAAATTAGACTTAGTATACTAGAAGAACCTTTCTTGCAGCTCTAGATATTGATGAGTCTTCGGTTATGCAACTGGCAGAGATGGGTTTTCCTTTGGAAGCATGTCGGAAAGCTGTGTACTATACAGGCAACCTGGGTGCTGAAGTGGCTTTCAACTGGATCATTGCACATATGGAAGAGCCAGGTCAGTGACTGGAAGGTGCAAATGAAGTTCAACTTCTGATTTTGTATTCTGGCAGTCAGTTGAAATTTTGAAATGCACAACAAACAGAAACAGTGGCCCCTTCCCCACTCCATGTAACCTGGAAGTGTGAGTGAATTTTTCTAAGCTGATTCTGGGGTATGCAGAAAGAAGGCAACAATCCGAAGTTACATCAAAAGCATGTGTCTTGTCCTCATTGATGGTGTAGGCCATCTCTGTTTTCCACCCTTCGGTTAGAACTGTGCTGCAAGAGGGAAAGCTGACTTGTGATTAAAAGTACAGAGAGCCCTGTCTGGATAATCTTCTTCCGCATCAGCCTTCTCTAGTTCATATTAGAGCATTCATGCTATACTTAGAACTTGGGCTTATCTACTGATGGACAGGGCTGCTCGATATTCTCTACTTCCTGTATTTCAGCCATGAAAAATTTGAGCCCATGGTTTTGAGTATACCTGAGCACTTCCTTGCTGGGGAAATCCTGATTTGGTTGAGTTCCCATTTTCTGTTGCTTGTATAAATGGGGACTGAGTTTTACTTGGGCTTAACTGAAATATTTCAGCTGTGGAATCCATTCATCTTAGTACTGTATGTATGTCAGCCTGGCTGTCTACTCTTTTGATGCCATCATTGCTTCTATATCAGTCTTGGCTACTTTCTTGCAATTGTTTTGCTTTTATAATGCATCAAGTTGTTTGCTCAATATGAGACTGTCAAGTTAGATATTTTGTGATATGCATGTTCAGCTTGTTTTTAAGTCTTTTCACACGTCCCTGACCCAGCTGGGCAAGTGAAATGAACTGTATGCTGATTTCTGGGCTGCTTTTAAAGTTCTGTTTGTTTGTGTATATTGTTGACTTTCCAGTTCATGGATGGCAAAAGAAAGATCTGATGAATGTTTGCTTCTTCCAGACTTTGCTGAACCATTGGTTGTACCTGCGTTTGGAGGAGCTTCTTCCAGTGGTGTGGCTGGCTTTGGGGCTGTTGAATTGGATAATCAACCTCCTGAAGAGATGGTCTCCATCATCATTTCCATGGGCTTCCAAAGGAGCCTAGCAATTCAAGCTCTGAAGGCAACAGTGAGTTCCATTGGTAGCATTTGGGTTTTATTTGATACTGCGAGCTTTGTGTGAACGTATGCACATTCAGATGCCTGTGAAACATGCGTATAAAAATTAAGTTAGTGGATGATGTGTGTAGAACTATTCTAGCAGAGTCTAGAATTGCATGACTTTATTGGGTTAAAGTGCGAAAGTGACTTGTGTGTTTCATGTAATGTTAAAATGTGGACAAATATCTGCTGAGAAACAATCAGAATGTCTGAAGACCGTGCATGCAAGTTTTCAGTGCTGTTGCACGTGATCCTTACTCAGTTCAAAGTCCAGTATGAGAGTGGTAGCATGATTCTAGAGAGAGTACGTTAAGGGATGTTCTTTTACTTCTTTCTCTCACAGAACAGTAACTTGGAGCGTGCGCTGGAATGGATCTTCAGCCACCCTGAATTAGAGGAGGAAGATGGGGAGTCTGCTTTGAGCATGATGGATTTGGAGAATCATACTAATGCGAATATCCTTGCAGAGGCAAGATCAGAGGGACCCAGGATCAAAGATGGGCCTGGAAGTAAGTTCTCCTTCAGCTTAGAGGTGGCTATCATGTTGTTGTGTCATGTCTACGTCATTCATATAGCTTTCCTCTCTTTAGAAAGTATGTATGTTTTTTGGACATGATCTGTACAAGGTTTTTTTTACTCCTACTTCTCGGTCTGAATCTGTTTTGGTTGGTCGAAGTTCTGTGAGTGTTTTTTTCTCAATAAACTTTGTCTGGACTCTCTGAATAACTGGAGTCCAAGTTTCCTGTTGCTAAGTCTTTTCTGGCCTGAACTAGGACAAGCTAGGATGTTTAGATTTTCAAAAGCTGAACGTCCCAGATATTACACTGCTGTTACAAATCTGAGTTTCTGTTCTGCTCTATAATCTGGTGGTTGGAGAGTGGGACTGATACAATCCTTTCAACAAAGTTCTTTATACTAATGTGTCAGGTAAAATTGGTGTACTTTGCTGTCATCTTTTGTGTGTGGTTTTTTTTTTTTTTTTTTTTTTTTTTTTTTTTTTCCGAGATTCTCAATCATACTGGTGCTAAACAAACCACAAGATGGAGCTAATGTACAGCAGTCAAAGCTGTGAATCAGAGCACTGGTTTTAAGTCTAACAGCACCGAGTGCAAAAGCTCACTGATTCTAAGATGCACCGTTTTTGGAGGGTCTTTAGTGACTTACTCTCATAACTGTTGTGTATTCTAAACTTGTCCCTCTAAGCTTGACTGTAATGGTCGTATGAAAAATTATCAACCAATTTGATTTTGTTCCTGTGGCTGCCATTATGAGTATTCATTTCTTTATTTTTAATATTATGAAGTCCAGCCTTAAGTCTCACGGAGACATGGGAGCCATTGGTTTACCATTAGGTTGTAAAAAGAAAAAAAAAATTGGAATAACTATTTTTTGTGGTACTCAGCCTTTATAGACTGAGACCATTTATTGAGTGCCTGAAATCCTGATAAGCAACATGATACTGTAAAATGGCTCCAGAAAGCCCTCTCCACCAAAATCCAGGACTCTGTCCTTATGCAATATCCTGAAATAAGGTACCTTTTTACTTTTGGTGGTAATGGGTGAATGGCATGAGTGGACGGGGAGCAAGAACCAATGATGAGTTCTCCAGAGGTTCTGAATATGAAAACAGTCATTTGTATTAGAGGAAGAAGCTTTTTTCCTGTCCTCTTTTATGGGCTACTGAAATTTGGAACTTCTGGTTTTTTGTTTGATTTACAGGGAATCTTTGATCACATTCGTACATTTGTGTGCAGAGTTAACTCTTCTAACACTTCTGTGGTGCTCTCTGGGAACTGCGAATAAATCTGCTGTTTTCTCTTTCCAGAGCTGTGATCACAGCTCTGCTGTGTATGTGCAGAGATGTATGTGGGTTCAGCTTGGATTGTTTTGATGTTTGACAGTGAATTTCAGCACTAGTTAAACCAAGCATATGCTGCAGTCTTAACAGAAACTGCATTTAGAGATGCAGTGCCTGAGTTAGGAGTGCTCAGGTGCTCCTGGGATTAAAAAGAAAAAAACTTCCCCCATATTCCTATTGCAGAGTTAGCAATGGAAGACTTATGCTCTCATTTGTATTTGCTAAACAGGGTATGAGCTGTTTGGGTTCATCAGCCACATGGGAACATCCACAATGAGTGGTCACTATGTTTGCCATCTCAAAAAAGAAGGAAGGTGAGTGGAACTGGGAGAGAGAGAGACATGCAAGGCTGAGCGGATGTTTTCTTTGGAATATGTATCTGTTCAGAGCAGGATGTGTATTCATGACATGCTTCAATTTTATTATGTAGGCATATCTCACCAAAGAGACTGTTTCTGATTTTGCTGCAGACTGTAGATACGATGAGTCAACTTCTGTTACAGCTGAGATCTGTGTTGAAATGTACCATTGGCTGTCCTGTCCTTATTTTCGAAATCTGTTCATTTGGGGGCATCAGTTCTGTACCTGGCTTCATTTATCTGAACTTCTCTCAACTTCCTCTTCCTTCTTATGAATAGAAACCCATCAGACTATGGGCTGATACCAGTGTTAGTATCACTAGTACTGTGGTACTGATCTTGGCTCTGTTTTTTTTTTTTTTTTATGCTCTTATTTTTTTTTTTTTATATCATAAATTCATGATTTTTTTCCTTCATTAAAACTGTAAATACAAGTTCCTCTGCACATCTTTCTTCCTTCTCAATTCCTGATATCGCCAGTAAAACTGCTTTAGCTGTTTATCTGGTCTTTTGTTCCTGTTGCAATGCTCAAATTTAGATTTGAAGCTCTTTGAAGTTTGGATCTGAGAAGTCCCTGGTAAACTTGTGATGATTTTTATTCGCACCATGTAATCCATCTTGTTTTTATTTCAGATGGGTGATCTACAATGACCTTAGAGTCTGTGCCTCAGAACGACCTCCCAAAGACCTGGGCTATATTTATTTTTACCACAGGATACCAAGTTAAGCCTCAAATGTATTATCTGGCCTTAAGAAGCCATAAGCCTTTTAACCTGCCAAAAAAAAAATCATCCAAGGAAAAAAATAAATCAACAGAAGACCCCTAGCCCTGGGACTACCAAAAACAAAGGAAAACATGGGATGTTTATAGTTAATTTAAAAACAGTCATTTGATGCCTTCTTAAGTGTTAGAGGGAAAATTTCTATCAGGTGATGTATAGTACCTTGTTTTAAATTTATACACCGTGAAGGATACCTTAAGACCATGCAGATTACTGGTGGAGTTTGCAGCTAGCATGTGGAGAAAACAGAAGTTTCAGAATGGGACAAAACCAAACCAGTTCAGCCCAATTCCTGCGTCTTCAGTCCACGCAGCTGTTGAAGACCATGAAGAGCCATCTGCATCTTTGGTAACTAGGAGCCACTGTTTTCAACCATACTCCAGACAACTTAGGGAAACTATGTCACGCTGAAAGTTGGAGGGAGGGGATGTATTCTACAAAGCAGAATGTCTTATTTGAGATTATTTTCATTACAGTGAGAAAAGCCAGCTACAGTTGTAGCTGTTGGAATTCAGTCTTACAGTGTTTTGGTTTGTGTTGTTGATCCATAAGCCTAAGAAATCAATGGAGATGTCAGTGCCCTGTACGTTTCTGCCAAAGAGAGGATTTTATTTTTACAGAGGTAGGTTTCTCCATCATCTCTAGACTGTTTGTTTTGCAAGGTCTTCCAACAGAGTCAAGATCACAGGTTGCTAAAAAAAGGCAGTTTTTCTGAACATGAAATTAAATAGTGTGCTCTCAGGAAAAGTAAGCCTATCAGTTTTTCTGTGTTTTTCTTATGAAAGAGTTAATGTCCCATTCTTATTTCTGAAAAAGACTGCGTGTCAATCACTCACATCCCAGCTGAAATCAACTCCATGACAAAGTACTTGCAGTGCAATTATTTCTGCTAAAGGTTGCATAAATATTGATTTCTATCCATAAGTGGGGGAAAACAGTAAAACTGTTGATTTTATTCATTTGCTCTTCTTTCCCTCCCTCCTCCCTTTCAAAAACAAGAGCAATACACACCTAGTTTGAGATTGCTTGAAACTTGCAAACACGCCAAATAATGTTTTCTCAAACAGATGCCTTCAAAAAAAGGGGTTTTTAAATCTCTGGCAGGGATGAAGGAGTGGGTAGGTAGGGGCTGGCCTTTCCTGCCCTTTTCTTTTGGTTTGATTTTTGTTGTTGTTGTTTCGGTTTGCATCACAGGCAAGAATATATATGTTGGTTTTTAAACTGTAACTTAAAACATTTATTCTAGAAAAAAAATACAGTGGTGAATGTGGTTCTTTTTGTGATTCCAAAAAACTACCAAAGGTTCATATGTGTGTTAAACACTGCTTAGAGATGGTTGATGGAGTTGCCTCGTGTAACTTACTTGAGCCTTCATAATAAATGGGAAGGGTCAAAAAAAACCAACTAACTTCCCTGCTGAGCTGTCACTGTTTCCTCTGTAGTGCCTGCAAATTTAATACCAAAATTCAAGCTGCAGAAGAGAATCCAAATTAAAAATGTGGTTATGAGTATTTTTTTCTAGGTTTTGGGGAAAAAGGTTTCTCCCTCAGATCACATGGCCTCGTGGAGAACTGAAAAAAAATATTTTGAGTCGGTTTCTGATCTTGAAAGATGATGAAAAAAATCCCAGTGTAGTAATTCTGCAAATTGGAAGTGGTGCCCAATTGCTGGGGAAGCTTCCTCCCAGTTAAAGTGCTCCTGTTGACACACAAGAATGATGCTCCAGCACCTCAGTAAGTGGCTCTTATGAGATTCTGCTGCTTTGTAGTTATTGTGGCACCAATTCTGGACAAAATCAAATTTACCAGTAATTTTTTTTCCTTCTTCAAGATTTTGTGAGTATTTGTGTGTATCACCAGAAAATGCCAGGTTTGAAAATGGGATCAGCAAATTATGCAGTGAAACATCTTCTATTTAAAGTGAAAGAACAAAACATTCTTGTATCTATATTTGTGCTTTTTCATTCTGGCAGTGAAAAAGGACAAAAGGCTTTTTTTTTTTAATGCCTAGTTATATCCCAAGAAACGTTCAACACAACAGCTTCCCTTTTGCCTCATGATCTTAAAGGGCTATTTATAAACTGCCAAGAGCTGGTAGCCATTATCTTTTATTTAGAGACCCTGGGTAAGTAAAAGCTAACAGAGTTGTTACCATGTTCATTATTAAACTGGAATTATGGCTGTTCTCACAGGATTAAGGATGGAGCTTGGATTCTTGCAAACAATTTGTCTTGTGCATCCCGGATCAGAAATGGCTGCAGGACTGATCCTGGTTTCAGTTAACATATGGGGCACACTGAAAGCTGGGGTTTAGGAAGCTGGCAGGTGATAAATGATTTGGTAGATGAAAGAGGAGAGCTGTTATCTGGCTGTGACACATGAATGGTAGCATCTCGGCTTCTGAAGTTCTCTTCAGCTGAGCACTCCTGTGTAGTGCCTTCCTAACCTAGCAAGTGGGTCAGCAGTGTGGGGAGCAATTTATGGGGAAGGCTTACAGTCCTGCTGAAATGCAGCACTTGACAATATGTTCAGGTTCTCGGCTGTTTGAGGTTTTCTCTTATTTCCCAAAGTAGTGGATAGCCTCCTTTTCCAGATGAACAGTTAAGTTGTTTCCAGTTTGTGCTAGGATGTGTACCAGGAACAACATGGTTTGGAGGAGCAGGATGTGAACCCCTGACTCACCAGCATAATGGGGGAGAGATGCATTTATTCATTTTTAACCTCAGCTTGCAGAAGACACAATCAGGCTGTAAGGAATAGATGACTAAATTACGAAGCCAGGATTGCTTTGCAAGCTAGAATTTCTGTGCAGTTAATTGTGTTGGGTCAGGTCTCCATGCACAACTTGGGTGGTGACTGATGTGGGAACTCTGTGTGTCTGGGTGCTGCAATGGCTGCTGCAGGGATGGGTGTGCTGAGAGCTGCTTCGTAGGAAAGCATGGGGGAGGAACAATCACTGTGAGCTGCTTGAGACAATCTGACCTGAGAATTATGGCAAACCAGGACTTGGCAGCAAATAGTGCTGATATTTTTTTAATAGATTTTTACCTTTCTATATGAAAAGTTTAGGTTGGGGCATTAGAAAGGAGAGAAAGTCAACTTGGTTCTTTTATTCCTAGCAGCATGCAGGATCCTGTACAGCCCTTATTCTGAGTCACAATCTCCAGTGTCCAAAACACATGTAGACACTGAGTCCTTTTTAATCTTCCTAGCCTGTATACAATTAAGATAAAAATTTATTTATTCAGTGCTATGGTTTAAAAACAAGTCCAGATATTTCTGGACTCTTTCCACTTGTAGTTCTGTTGGGTTCAGGGGTGTTACTTCTGGCAGTGGTGTAACTGAAATCAGAATCAGCACAGTTTCTCTGTCTCAGGCAGCTTCCATTGACTTGTGCACATTGTGAATACGGATGCAGCTGGAGTTCACTGGGTTGTTTTAGAAGCATCTCCATTCCTTTTGTTTTCAATCCTGGCAGCAGCCATTTTTATCTTTGCTGTTTTCACATGTTGAAAGACTATGCAAAATATGTAACTAGACGTCACTTTTTATTCTTTTCCTATATCCCTTCCTACCTTGATGGCTGAGATCAGCTTCTGATTTCTGTTCACTCTTAAGAGGTTTTACTGTTGTATCCTGGAAGTATCTGTGCTGGTTGACTTTGCACCATTCGGCATTGTTTGCTTGAAGCACTGTTAATGTTTTTGAGAGTATTTGAGATGAGAAAGGTTGTGAATGGTATTGTTGCAACTGTTTTAAATTAAAAAGGAAATATTCTCACATCTTGTGGCTGTGTGGATTCTTTCTTTCTCTCCTGTCCAAACTCCAGAGGAGCAGACCAAGCGTGTTTTGGTGCTGCCTCTTTTCTTACTTTCTGTGGTGATGTTTGGTGTGTTACATAAAAACGTGCATAGGGAACAGGAGTTTGTAAGGGGCTTGATCTCTTGTGACTGATGGCAACAGATAAGTAAATGGATCTCCTCTAAGGAAGCAAAAAAAAAACCCTACAAAAAACAAGCAAAACAAAAAAAACCCACAAAGGAAAACCAAAGTTCTGGGTGAATATAAAACATGCCAAAGCTAGAAAATAAGATTTAAACTAAGTTTAATTTTTTTGTACGTTTTAAGCCAACTGCCATTTTTGAATGCAAGAGTTGGCACTCTTCTGCATGAACTCTGCCATCATTTTACCCTGGTCCCTGCTGTTCAGTTAAAGCTTTGTCTTGGTCTGTAATTCATCATATTCATTTTGGAATTTGACCTGCTGATCAATAAAGCAGAAGCTTGGTGTTTTTATTTTTCCTTTTATGCAATAAATTTGCATAGTAGCATGACCGCTGGGATCTTTGGCAGATAGAGGAATAGGCCAAAAAATGAGTCTGATAGGTGGTGACCCTTTCATCTTTTCACAGGATCACGGGGCCATGAGCCAGAGGAGATGTGAGAGGTAAACCTTCCAGGTCTTAAGGGGCTTCTTCTGACATGGAAGTCGGGGTCATGTTAAGTACTGAGCGATGACGAGAAAGGTAAAGATGATTCAATCCTGGAAGTCCAAATGTAATGATATGTTGGTTCCTTTTATCACAGACGTCCATTGTGACCGTGGCAGGCTGCTCTGCACCACACTGTTGCCACTTGCAGCAACTGGAACAAGGTGAGGGATCCTCCTGCAAGCTGAGTGGCACAACTTAGGGCTCTGTTCAGACTTCACGTGGTGATGTACCGTGCAAGAGCTGTGCCTGCTGACTTCTGCAGATTGGTTGGAGAAGGCAATATAAAGTAGCTGACAGGTGAATACCACCTCTGTGCTCTACTCCTCCTCACAAGAGTGGGAAATAACACCTCTCCATCTCTCTGGTGTGCCGCAGGCTTGACATGGATCAGCATGGCACTGACTGCTGTGATGAAAGATGAGTTCTGTAACCATACCAGAGACGATGCATGTCCAACAGCTGGTGTGCAATAAGTGATTATGTTGTGCCTTCAAAGGTGTTTCTATTTTTTAGCAGTTCTGTATGTAGGATTTCCTCCCAGCCGCTCTCTTGCTTTGCCTTCAGTACTGCGGTACTGAGTCCCTGATATGTGCTGTGGAGCACATAACTAATGGACACTGCTGCTTGTTCTTTGTCAGTACACCCGAGCAACAAAAACTAACCAGAACATCTTCTGGCAAAACACACCATTGTCAAGAGCACAACTACTTTCAACTTAAAGAGTTAGTGAGTTTTCAGTGTCTGTTCCCTTTTCTTCCGTAGTGAAAGGCTGCTTAGGCCACAGGGAGCCAGCTGACTTCTCTGACCAGAGGTTTCTTTCCACAGGCAAACTGTGGCTCTATCTCCTGTTTGTTGTTCTTTTGTCTGTCTGTTTTTGTCTGTGTTTTTTTGTTTGCTAGGTTTTGTTTTTCTGGCCTGTCCTAAGTGTCCACTGGCTGTGCCAACAGGCATTCAGATACATTCTAACTTTGTTTCTTAGTGGCCCTCTGCTGTAACTGTCACAGCTGCTCTGTTCACAGCAGGGCACGGGTATCTGTCCTTGTGTCACGTCTGTGCTTACATCAGTCTGTGCGTGTATCAGTCTCGATAGCAAAACCATTTGCAAAAAGCCCTTCCTCTGCAGGTCAGTCAATCACTTGAACTTGGCTTTGGTGCTTCCTTGTTTATTCTTTTTTCTCTCCGGAAGCATTGTGCCATATCATTACTTCTGCTTTTATTTTGAAGTGTGCAGTTGTGTAACCTTCAGGAAAAATTCTCATACTTTTTTTTTTTCCATTTTCCTTGTACAGAGAGTATGTGCAAAACCTCTTGGTCCAGTCCTCAGCTGCTATGAATTCCAGTTGTAAGTACAATTGAAATATTTAAAAATAAAAATAAATTAAACAAAAGGGATTAAAAAAAAGGAAACAAACAAACAAGCAACCTCAGAGCAACGTGATGAGCTAATTAAAATCTTCTGGTTAAGAAAAAAAAACATCTTCTAGCCTTAATGTGTGTGCAGAGAAGCACAGCTACAACATAAACAATAGGAAAGAAGCCTTGGATTAAAAATCATTTGTTTCTCTTGAAGAGGTCTCTTTTGACTTCATTTACTTGAAATGAAAACCTTCTACAAATGGAGAAGCGATTTGGAAATATTTGAAGCCACAGACAAAGTTTTATTTTTTAAAACAGATTTAAAAATCGCACAGATATAAATACAGATAAATAAATACAATTTATTATGTGGAAAAGAACCCAAGGAAGGCATGCTTCCATTACAGTACAAAAATACTACATTAAATGGTGCTCTGCAAATAGTAACTATGAGATTAATAAATTTAACACATCCAATATGCACGTAATAATCTATTTCTTCAAAAATCAACTATTTTAAAGAGCAGTGCAAGGGAACAACAAATTAAAGCATCAGTAAACTACAGTTCTGTGTTTAATATTGTACACAGCTGATAATGCACTGGGAATAGAGAGGTGAGTTATTTGTCATAAGAAACATTTTCTTTTTAAAACTCCATACATGCTTGCAGACTCAGATTCTCAGTCAGAGTCTGTATGGACCTTTGTAACAGAATGTAAACATTCAGGAGTAGGGCTGAACTCCCACCTCTGCATCCACCTCGCTGCGATGCCTTGCACGTTCACTTGCCCACCAACAGGAAATGTGAGCCACCAAGTCTGCACAGCAGCACAGCTCTCCAGACAGCCCAGGTGAAAGTATCTGCCAACCCTACAGTCTCTTCTTTCTTGTATGTTGGCTTAAAAATAAAGCCAAAAAAAAACGAATGCAAGTTTGCAAAGGTTTTCAAACCGATTACAGTGTATAGAAGCAGCTGCACAGAATGCCTCTCAAAACTATATAGTTTTACTTTAGATATGTTATACTCTGATATATAAAATATATTTATAAATGTTTCGATTTTTCTGACTTTACAATAATTGCTGATATTAAAAAGGCTGTTTAAATTAAAGTTCTAGCCACTGTCATCGGCAGTCTGTAAATGTGGAAGGGGAAAAAAAAGATCAAATCACATTAAGTCTTGACTGTGCAAGCATTTGCAAAGTTACAGCTTAGTATTCCTTCTGTCTCTCTCATGTGCACAGTACCTATTGCTTGTGGGCTGAGGCTCTGACACTTCTGTGGGTTCTGTGGCATGCTTGTTTTTCCTCTTGCTTAGCTTTGTTCAAAGCATCAGTGGTCACTTCATGCATATGGTACTCTTGTCTCTGATATATTTCAGCAATCCAGAACTAGAACTATAATGAAATAATCTGATTTCTAGCCTAGATGAGGTTTCAATAATAGATAATACTATGTTTCATATGGCCTAAACCACCAATTATTTTCACAACGTGCGGTGCAATTTTCTGCCACTTCTATCTGTAAATGCTCAGTATTATAAGCAGTTATAACATAGATTCACTGTACAGACTGCAAAATTGACAACGCTGCTGACCAGAAATCTCTCGAACTGTGCAGGTTATCATGTGAAGTAACTAATACATCTCATTTTGCAGACGTGTGTTCAGGTAAGGGAGACCTACAGCCAATCTGTGTGACAGTCCCAGCTCTCCCCTGCTCTGACAGTGATTTAGGCCTCTAGCTGCCGGTAATTCCTTAGTTGTTATTCCTGATGTGGAGGCCTGTGCTCTACAAATGTTGGTAAGACCCTCTGGCTGATCTGTTGGTGCTGCTGAGATCCTCCTGTCTGCCTGATGGACAAGCCCAGGTTTTCTAAATTGGCCCATTCAGCTCTTGTGCTGAGCTTTCAGCTGAGTCAGGCATCCGCAGCTGAAGTTGGTGGATGCGGGAGATTGTCAGCTCTGTGAAGTTTTACTTGTTTTAACCAGAACAGTCAGAGGGACAGGCAGCCTTTAGAGCTAGTGGGCAAGCTTGAGAAGCCTGGCCACAGTGAGTGCACACAAGATGGCAGTGGCTTCAGTGGTTCTGGGAGTCTTTTTCTCTGCTTTGGTGCTGTCTAATTTTAATTAGTAAAGGAAACGCGCAAATCCAATCACCCAGCTTCATGGTGAAAGCTGTGCGCATCTCACTTCTTGATTCTTAAGAGGATGCCAAAACTTGTCTGCAGGCACTCTGGCTGCAGATGTTTGTCAATAATTAAACGTGAAATCCACAACACAGTGATTTCCGAGGTTGAGGTTTAAAAAGGGCTCTGTGTTTTGTGTAAACTTTTCCAAATAATCTGAACTCAGTCTTGAATTTGGCAGATGCAAAGTGCTTTTAAAATATCCCACAGAAGATACTGATTAATAGATTAAAAAATACCCTGTGTGTGCACCCTCTGCATGCATTCTTTAAATGTATATTTGGGTAGCAGCACCACATGCTTTGTATTTATATTTCAGTACAGTTATTTGTTAATGTAGTTGCATGCAATATTGTCATATGAGGTTTAGCATTATTGGAACCTCCCCTTGGATAGCTGCAGAAGTGCTCTGATATAACAGATTTTAAGAAATACCATTGCATACAGATATGTTTGTATTTACCTAGAGATCAAATCCATACTTTAAACAAACAAACCGGTCTATTGCAACAAGGGTATCAGAGTCATTACAGTTTAAAAAGATCAGCAAGAAATGAGCCTATTGCTTTCATTGTAAAGCCTCACTCCGTAAATAATCCCTTTGATTCTGGTTACTGTTCTGCACATGCAGTGCTATCAGAGGGCAGCCCTCATCTGCTAACAGCATTTGAGCTAATCATGCAAAGACCACAGACTTTGAGTGTTCAGCAGCTTCATGGATCAGACTTGTTATAAATAAATACTTGTAAGTCTTTGCAGAGGAGAGGGACAGTCACAAGCGTGGCTTAGGAAAGTGCTGCTTGCTTGCGTGAAATATGTAAAACAGAGGAATGACTCAAGCTTGGAATCAATTACCTGGCAGTGATAGATTACCTCTGGAGAAAGGGGAGTAACAAGAAGGGGAAGCAGGAGTGGGAGGTGATGATAAACTGTCGCAGCACTAATTTAGCATCAGCCTGTAGATTCTGTGCTGTTGTGACCCAGGAGTGTCTCAGGATCTCATCTCTGGTGAAATTTCTAGTCCTTAAGTAAAACTGCTTTCTTACTTGGATCTGGGCAACCACATGCTTGTTTGTCTTCTCTGAATTTACGTGGGTCACCCTACACGCACAGTCTGTGAGACAGCAGCGTTCCTCTGCCTTTGTGTGATTCCACAGTGCACAGTGGCTGCCTGCACACTTGGATGAGCAGAGGATGGAGGAGATGTTGACTGGGGGGAGCTCACAGGGAGCAATGAGAAGAAGATCCAGATTTCCTGTCTCTCACCCTTGAACTCAATATGCTACTGTTTAGCAGCCTTATTTATCCCGCCTTGTGCCTGGTTAGAATTACAGTGGCTGCACTTTTTTCCTAGGGTGTTAATATGCTGCAGTCTCTCCTGACCACGAGGAGTCCTGTCCTGTGCACTGACAGTGTTTGGTGATGGGGGCTGCAGGAGGACAGTAAGGCCCAGAATTCTGAAGTATGCACAGCACTGAACCTAGAAGTACCAAGAGCTGCTCAATGCAGGGACGTCTGGCACAGAGGCTGCCCAGCAGGTTTTCCTAACAAAATTTCTGTGTTAGTCGTGCACGTGATAGAGAAAAACATAGAGGTTTAGTGAACTGTCATCCATATCAAATGTTCCTTGTCATTCTGACTTGAGTTTTTTTATTTGAGAGGTATAAAAATATAATTTTTGAGCAGCTCATTCCTCTGGGTAATCCCTAATTATCCTACAGCAGAGCTGATATTATAGAAGGACTTGTGTGACGGGTAGGGCATCAAGCAAAATCTAAGCACATATGCTTTTGCCTTACAGTCTCTTCTCAAAGCTGCCTCCCTTCCCTCTTATCACTTCCCAGATTCAATTGCAGTGCACCTTCTGCTCTGCCTTATCGATACGGGGCTGTCATCACACATCGCTGTCAAAGCAAAGAGCAAACTGTTGTCAGCAGATCTGCATACAGCAGCGTGCTTAGCTAAAATGTCATTCCCAGGCAGTCTTGGATAACCAGTCCTTAGAGAAAATTGAAGAAATAATTTGTCGTTATATGCTTGATAAATAAACAGGAACGTATATAAACAGTGAATCAATAGAGCACTACTAAAAAATTCTTGTGGCTGTTTCAGCACTTCTATTCTACGGGTATGAATGAGAGGTAAGCCTCTTATTTTTAATAAGAAATGATTATTTTAGCCAATTATGTTGGTAATTAGGTGCAGTGATTGCACTAATTGAGATGGAATTTTCCTTTAAGTGGTTGCTCAAAATAACAGGCAGCTGCAAGAAACTTAAGCTCATACTGTTGGAACTGTCCGATTCTCATAGAGATTCTTACTTTGTGATTTGTACATGTGATTTTTTCTTAAGCAGTTCAGTTTTTCTGTTTTGTTGTTGTTTTCAGTGCTGTTTACAGGAAATGTGCCACTCGTCCCACTTCATCACACTCAAGTATCTACCCTGCACCTTGCGTCCCTGGCCACGAATCAGTGCAGTGCTATCCAGTTTTTTCCACCGTTCAGAAAAAAGTAGTAAAAATAAAATAACTGAAAATGGCTCCCCTTAGAAATACATCTGTTCCTCTATTTGATTGACACCTTTACCTCGAGCTAAGCCTGTTTGCATTGTACCAAAATCAATCCATTTGTTGTGTAACTGTGCAGCCCCATCCCTCGATACTGTTCCCCATTCATCCAAGCAAGAAAAAATTAAAATGAAATGCATATATATTTTTAAGGAGCTAGAAGTACTGATGTTATCTAAGCATTTAGCCTGCTGTGATAGAAGTCGCTGAAACTTTTTGCTACTGTTTGCCACAACAGCAGGATTGCATCTCAGTCCCGATCGTACAAGCATTAAATAGAGGCTACTTTTCAGCAAGAACTTTCCCTTGAGCATGCTTTGCAGGTATGAGCTCCTATGAAGACTCTTTTTATTTGCCAAAGTGCTCTGTGGCTTAATATGTTTTGAATGACGTAATACACACAATATGTGCATGCACATGCATGCATATGTAGTACCTGATGCATAATAGAATAATCTTTCTAGTAGATATTGCAGTTTATATTGTATTTGCATCATTTAAACATAAGAATGTTGAAAACCCTCTTATCACATTTCAGAAAATGATGTTTGGTCCTCTATGCCAACAAGGCTATCCTGTAAATTCTGCTTTTAGTAATTAAAATAAAAATAAAGCATAGCACAATTTTACAAAAAGAAAGATTAAAGTGCATAAGTACACATTGACAGATCCTGCTGTGAGGTCCTTTGAAGCAGACATTCTCTGTCCACAATCAGGGGTAGCTGGTTTAAACAGCAACAATTCTAGTGCAAATTACTGCTTCTGCTTGCAACAGCTGTCCTTGCAATATATACATGGCCTAATCTCATAGACCTCCATGTAGTGTTCCCGTTAATATCGCACCTGGTTTGCACGGAACTTGGCCCAAATTAATCAAGGTACCTTTGGAAGCAAAGTTGCCAACTTTGAAACACGTTCAAAACAAAATGCATCCCTTTTCATGCATCTGTTTTCAGAGCTGTGTTAAAGATGAACCTTGAAGATACTTCAGAGAAAGCAAAGGACGGAGAATTCATGTTGCATGGCGAAGTGATGTCAGCATAGTGAGATCAGCAACTAAGCAGGTTCCTTAGATGCGCTGCTTGCCATTTTAATGTGCCATAATTATTACCTAGGTTTGTTTTTCACATATTTCTTCATATATCTGTTTGTGTGAATATATATATAGAGAGAGAGCGTGCATGGGATGATGATCTTCATCTAATTCAGGGCTTTGTCAGATCAGCTGCTGCTCATTTGGATCCTTTGAGTCTGAGCATATTTGGAACATTTTGTGCTTTTGAATTTTTCCTTTTTGAATAACATCTGAGAATTCTGCTACTGATCTACAACCGTGATCTTTTTTAAACTGTGATCATTTTGAGATGAGTAATAAAAGAGTTCTCTGCCTCCTAATATAACTTAATTTGTGGATGCTTTGTATTACGGCTCTAGATTAAAAGCTCTTAATAGAATGTCTAGGTCGCCCACATTGGCAGCTTGAAATAGTTCTGGCTGGTCCATCATAGACAAAGCAATTCTAAGTGCTGCCCAAATATTGCCTGATAGAGCAGGATGGGGCACCTGCTGTTGATTCCTGCTTTTCCTTTGCAAACTGAGAGCCGTGAGAAAATTGCTGACAGCCTCTCTGTAGGAAAGAAAAGAAAGATGTAATGTAATTTGCTTAATGAATAGCATAAAACTTCAGGAAATACCATTCTGGAATTGAGTGTATTTTTTAAATACACTCAGGTGTGTGTGCACCTCTCAGGCCTTTTGGTGTTACTCTTGTTTGATTTTCTTTAAACAAATGGACGTGACTGTAGTACTCTAGACCTTACTTTATTGGTATGCTTTATTGCTGTATAGATCTCTCTCATCTTAAATGTCCTAAGCTGACAGTAAGGACCCCTATAATGTAAACCTGTGTTTCCTAAAGGTTGTATTAAAAGTACTTTTGACAATATTAACTACTGTAAGCATTTTAACTGGAGTTTCCCTTATAGGTACAGTTTTATAATTTTCTTTTTTCTCCTTAACACAGGATTGAGTGTGAGAACAATCCCACAGATGTTGATAGGATTACTTGCACTTAGAGCTAGGAAAAATGCTTAAGCATCTTGTTGAATGGAGGATTTTTAAATTCAGTAATTCTGTTATGTAGGTTGAATGGATATAAACAAAATATTACTCATTTATTAGTGCTTTGTAAAATATATATATATTAGCTGAGATAATTAAACTGTATTCTATTTTTTTTTCTTAAATAGCTCCAGCTAGAAAATGAATTTTCACTTGGTAGATATGATTCCTGATTCTTTCGTTTACACATATTTGTAACTTACCTGTATGCTCCTAAGTTGATGCAGCTTATGCCTAAATTGTACCTGGACCTAATGAAGCCAGGTTGTATTTCTAAAGCACGTGTGTAAGCCTCAACAGCTTCTTCGCTTCGATCCCCATTTGCCAGGGTTGCTCCAAGACGGTTCCATAACGTGTAGTCCTGGTGAGAAAATGAATTCTCTACTGTAGGTGTCAATAGGAGGCGTAACAGCTCATCTTTGATTGCAAAGTAAGGTAGAAAATAACAATGTCATATCCTCTCTTCATTGATACAGAATGGAAGTTTCTGACTTGTGATTATAGGCGACTTTAAATAACCAGTACGACTAGTCATTATGCAGCTAAAAATGAGACATATGTAACTCTACTTACATATACTCCAAATGGGGCTGTCTGATAATTAACGCTTCTCTTTCAAGTGTTAAAATTTTAATGACCAAAGCAGCATCTCATTAATATTGGTCTGATCAAGAAAGAAGGAAAAAAACTGTGAAACTTAGTTGTTAAAAATGGGAAAGCATAAAATGTACCTCTGGCCGAACAGTTAAAGCAGCACTAAATGCATCTATTGCTCGGTTAAATTCTCCATTCAGGTGGAAAAGAACTCCAAGTCCTGTCTGCAAGTCAGGGTCTATCACGTCACCATTCTGGTGAGCAGCCTCTAGGTATAAATCCTTTACTTCTTCAAGTAACGAGCTAGACAAGAGTGAAAAATAACATGAAGTTGCATCTTAGAGATCATAATTATTGTACTTGATGTTTCAGAAGTGATAAACTTGAAAATAAGCTGCTTGAGTTCAATCACAGCAGAGATACGCTTCTCCATCCTGTTGCAAGCTCATTTCTGAAATACAGAAGTTTACCTGTGTGATGAAGTCAAAGTGAAGCTATGAATCCAAGTAAGAAAACATGAATGCTTATTATTAAAGCTAATGAAATTAGGTGGGTTTCTCAGTCGTAAAAAGAGTAGCCATTTTGGGGGCTGTAAATGACTAGCCAAGACCCCTGAGGATGGATGCCAAAATTTCCATCTCCTATATGTGCTGTAGGCTTCATAAAACCTCATCGGCAGTTCTGGGTGATGAGGCCAAAGTAGAGCAACTCTCTTATCAATTAAGTTGAACTTGCATATTACATTTTACTGACATTATCTTGTCAACCTGAGGCTCCTTCCTGATAAGGGAAAACATAAGGCCTGTCTTCAAAATGATATGCAGTGAGACAGCACTAGTTTTTTGGTTCTATAAATGGTGTCTATGCCTTTAATGAATTTATTATGAATTTCAAACTTCAGAAAGATTAATTGATTGGCCTCATGAAAATATGATGAAGGGCTGCCAAGTCATGATTTCTTTTGTTATTTAAAATGGTTGCCAGCTCCCATTACAGTATGCTGGGCTAGAGACAGAAAAAATGACCGCAGTGTCTTTGTTTAAAAACAAAATGAGTTTTAAACAAGCAGATGCTACCTCCCAATTATATTCAGTGAACTGAAGCCATGTCCCATGGCAAAATGGCTGATGTTCCTGGATTCTAGAGAGTTGGTTGGGATATAGGAAATTCGATGAACAATAGAAAGAATACGTATGTAGAGCAATACAACCTGGTAGGAATTTGGAAGCAGTAGAACGAGGATTTTGGGAATAAAGAAGCTGCAGTCAGGATGAATAGGATTAGTAGAAAGTTATGGGACTTGAAGCAACAGCTATCTTTTGATTGCAGTTTATGTTAACTTCCGTGGATGGAATAATGTAGTCCTTAGTCCCTAAACTGAATGTACTGTTTGTTTCCTACCTCTGCCTCTATGGACATTTAGTTTCTGGGTTTCCATCACAGGCAACGGGCTGGACTTCTACACATTAAGGGCACAGCATGAAGCATTGTTTGTAGTGGTCATTACATCTCAGCCAGCAGGATTTAACTGCGTTTACCTTTCATCTGACGTCTTAGACATTCTCCTGGTAAGTGCTGGGGACCCTTTTTTGCTTTTCGCTATGTACTTGTACTTTGGATTTAGCTTTATCCAGTTTCGTAGAGCTTGGTAGGCTTCCTGTTGGTGACCTGTGTTAGTATAACTTACAGCCAGTGCCATCAGAGCTTTTAGGTTGTTTGGCTGCAGTTCCAAGCACCTAGGCAGAAAATAAAAATATGTTGAGGGTTTTTATTTGTTTGTTTCTAGCCAACCACATTCTTGAGTGCTTTCAAAATAGTCCCTGTCAATAAATAAGTCACTTAAAAAAGATCTATCCAACAATATTTTCAAAGAAGGGGCTTTGTTTTACTGTTCTGTAGTAAGTGCATTATGCATTTGTACACAAACATGCATGCATGGGCCTTTGCATACACACATGAATGTATATAAATATGTGCACACTGGTAATGCTCTCATCTTTTTCATTATGAGTAAGTTGAGTGGGTAGATTGGTTTTATATTTTCTGTCTAGCAAACAAAAAGTTTAACTTAAATTCCTGCAAACAGTTTAATATGATTTTCAGCTCTGCAAAAAAGTATTTTGAAGAAAAAAAAAATCACTTTCCTATGAATCATCTCACAAATACTAAATTCTCAGTAATTCTTTGATAACGATGGAGCCAGTAAACTGGAACAGTCTTTCTACAGCTGTATATCATGAACTGAAAACAAAATCTGGCCTATTTTTTGAACATCACTCTTGTTTTAAAACTGGGGGAATAGAAAAGCCCTACATCAGGCAACCCCTTGGTCTTCTGTCTAGGTAAAATGGAAAGTTAGGTGTAAGTGAGAGCATCCCTAGGTGATAACTTGATGGTTAATGCTGCTAATGCAATTGAAATTTGAGAGGATACTTCTTAAGTGGAAACATGAAAACTCACTAGCGGAAGTAATAATAATGCTGATATTTTAGAGCTGACTTTTACATACAAGTATCTCCATCAACCACAGATATTCTCAGATTAGTATTCAGCAGCTGGAGGTGATTAATTCTAATTGAAAAAAAACACCAACCTCTTTGTTAAAGGACAGACAACAGAAAATATGCTAAGTGGCTAGGATATCAAAAAGGTACTTCATTTGCATTATGCCTGACTGGTGTTTATCAGACCATGCAACTTTCCTTCAGTGCAATTAATTACATTATTAGATTAACTATTCTACTTATTTCATACAATAGAAAGACTAATCAACCGTCTGTCACTGTTTCTACACCTGTGTCAATGCTTTGCTCATTTAAATAAATGGTTCAAGTTACAAGACAAATATGAGGTTAAATATACCTAGGTCTCCGTTACCCAATACTCATTCGACCCCTTATTTAGTGGTTATCTTTATCTACCTTTGAAGTGCGACAATGGCTGCTTGCTCATTTTCATTCTCTGCCTGTGTTATGCCCAGGAACTGCCAGGCCTGCAAAAATAATCATCATCTTGTTTTGTTATACAGACCCAAGTGCAAACACTTACAACTAGTATCACTTCCAGCGGGGAGGAGAATAAAGATTGATCTGTTCAGCAGTAATTACAGTTTTTTCTACGGTGTACAGGCCAACAGTACAAATCAGTGCAGTTCTGAATGCCTCTGAGCATGATAATATTTATAATCAGTTGATGCAAAAGTGTTTTGTCAATGTGTAAATGCATACTGGTTTCTCAGATGTAAGTTACTGTACATTTTAAATGTTGCCAGACTATTACAGAAAGCGCTGAACAACGATTAAGTTACGTATGTTTAAGGGATTCCTGAGGGTCTAGGAATTCTCTGTGCTTTTTGAAACACTGCTGCTTATTTTACAGTAGCAATAGATTCAAAGAGATCTGTATGCTTACATTGTAAATATTCTTCAGGTTTCAGTAATATTGTGGAAAATAATATGATTTTAAGAAAAGTCTTAGAATTCTTGTTAAATCATTTTTATTTTCCTTTTTGTAATGATAGTGTTTAATAGATTGAAAACATTGGGAAAAGGGAATGAAGCATTTCAAATATTGTCTCTCTTCAAAGCTTTTAAATGACAATTTGGCAATTCTGTCAATTCAAAAATAGATTCTCATCTTATGGAGAGCTCCCTGTTATCTATTTCAGAGCATATGTTATTCCAGAACCACCATAGTTGTTCAAGCTGTTTCAGTCAGTCATGACTAGCAAAGCTTTGGGTCATAGAACCATTTCATCTCTGTATGCTAAAGGGAGCCCCCTTTCCTTTGTCAACAAAAAGCATAAGAGTGGATACCTCTGCATCATTGGGCTCTTGTAGAATAGCAGCCTCCAGGTACAGGATTGTAACATGCAGGTCACCTTCTTTCATTTTTTTCAGTCCTTCCTCAAAAGCACCTGGCCAGTCTTTGAAAGGATTTTCTGTATGGAAATAATATCCCTGGGGAAGAGAATGAAGAGAGCCATGTTGAGCCCTGTAGTGAGGGATAGCAACTATGAAATTAAGTTTTCAGTATATTCTACCAGGACGTAAACATTTTTTCTATGAAAGAATGGATGAGCTCCCCTGTAAAATTTGAATTACAAAAACTGTAAAAGCAAACATCACTGGCCATTTATATTTGTGCTCTCTGTATATTTACTTGATCATTAGTTATGCTGAATGGTACTTATGTTGGGTGTCAAATACAATGGCAAAAGCTCACATTGCAATAGCAGCAGAATTGAACCTAGCATGAGCTCAGTACGTCCAATTTATGGAAAAGAGCATAAAGAGCACAAACCAAGAGGCTGACTCCCTGCAGTGCCTGCAACCTCATCTCTATTTCGTTAATATCCTGGAATCTTCAATTAATTTTCAAGATAAACAGTAGTGTTTCAGGTGCCTGAGTTGAATTTGGGTGTTTTTTGTTTTTTTCTTTTTAAAGTTTTGCTTTTTTCCTCTTCATGCCACTGCAGTGTGAAGAATGTATGCTAATATTAGCTACATAATGTATGTTGAGTTAAAGCATACAAGGAAGGGAATGAAGAAGAGTGTTTGAGTGTGCCTGTCTGGATTTCTTAGTACTTGGTGCTCTCCCTTGAGCGGCTGTTTTCAAGTGTACTCAGACTCCAGCAGTTTGCAATCCATTTGGCTGAATTCACACACTCTGCATGTCTAAATGTATTCCTACTGTGGTACTTTCTCAAATCCTACCCTATTCATAGACAATTTAAAAAGGATGAGTTCTTTTGGATAAAATTGGCTTCCATATCCCAGAAGAGTTTTCTTGCGATCCCATGAACAGCTGAAGCTCATCTAAAAATTTCATGGGAAGGATGCACAGTTTGAAAACAAGTTTGTGTTGTTACCTTCTCAATGGTAGAGATGGTGACTTGCCCTGGTGCTTCTTGGTTCTCTGAAATCCAGTTCCTGCGAGCCATTTCTTCCCATTCTGCTTGCATTTTATCCCAAAACTCTGTGTCTGACTAGAAGAAAAAAGATGAAAAAATGAACAACAAAATCCTAAAATAAAACGAAAGGCTTTTATTATACTTTTTTTTAACAAGTGACAATTTTGCTGAGCAGTGTTCATTCTATTAATAATCATGCTGACTGAAATACTACAGTACAAATATGGAATTTCATATAATTAAATTTCATCTCCTATATTGCAATGTATTTCTTCATCAGAAGACTCTTTATCTCGGAGGCAGCATATGTTCTGTCTGAAGCAGGATTTGCAGCAGTTTACACTGCATCTCATTGATGCTAACAGTAAATTGTTACTTTAAAATTTGAGTGGAAATGAAAGGCTCATCCCTAGCCAAAATGAAAAACAAACCCTAAGCATATATGCTAAAGAATAACAGTAGTTAAAAGTTTCTTTAAAAAACAAACAAAAACAATTGTCCTACTTTGATGGATTCAGCATCATTTTTGCCATGTAAAAGAGTAATCACCAAGTTTAGTGTGTGGACAAGATATTTAATGTAAATAGAGTCTTCTGACATAGTGGAGAAATCCTAATATTCATAGTGTCATAGAATGGTTTGGGTTTGGAAGGACCTTTAAAATAATCCAATTCCAACCACATAGCTATAGGCAGGGACACCTCCCTCTAGAACAGGTTGCTCAGCCTGGCCTTGAATGCTTCCAGATTGAGGGTATCCACAACCTCACTGGCAGCCTGTTCCAATGTCTCACCGCCCTCACAGTAGAGCACTTCTTCCCAATATCTGTTTTTTCAGCCTCCTCACTTTACCTATAAACTGTGAAAAGCAGTGCCATAGCAGAATATGTGCTCAACACTGCAAGCCTTTGCAAAGTTCCCCAGTTCCTTCAGGGCATGGCCAGGACCATAGTGCCAGTGAACTGACACTGCCGAGAGTGCAGTTTCTCAGTTTGTTTATGTCAGAGAATTAATAATTCTATTGAGGTATAGACAGAACTATTTGAGGGTAAGGTACAAAATTAGATTTAGATTTATAAATTTAGAGATGTTAGAAACTTGCTCACACAGTTCTGTCTGAATCTCTATTGGCAGATTGATTGCTCTTTGATACTGTTCTGCAGCCAGGCGTGATTTGCAAAATCTTAATTTGTGAATGTGTGACTTGCCACAGCTCTACTCCTCAGGCACTTGGAAAAAGGAAAATGCAGACTGTTAACAGATCTAGAATGAGTCAGCAGCCAGAATATGTGAGTCTGGATGTAAAGGGTAGGACCATAGCCACTGTCAGTAGGTGCAATTGCTATGAATCACGATGCTGTTTACAATGGCAATGTACATTCCCCCCCTACAAATCTGAAAGGCATTTCCCTTTGGTTCTTGCTGTATCACCTCCCTTGGATATCCAGCGCTTCCTTCCAGGAGGCTCAGACTTGTATGAATTATGCAATTAGCAGATCTGTGAAGATACCTGCTATGTTACTCTGCAGACTAGGAAACAAGTGTGAATCATTCATGCCCAAAGAGAAAATTACATTCTTTTTAATAGAAGCAAACAGAAGATGACAACTCTGTTACACAACAGCTTCTGAGGTTTCAAAATTTGCTTTCATTCCAAATTTGAAGGAAATAGAGTCATTTAAATAGTTGTGAGATTGTGCTGAAATATCCACTTAGGAACTGAAAAGGCTGGGATAAAGATTCAGATTGCTCCCTCTTTTATCAACTGTGAGCAGAAGCACTTGAATCACTTAAACTATCCTGTTCAACAAATGTCTCCATGAACTATTTTGCATTCCGTGCAAATCTGCACTGCACTGAAGAAGAAAATTACTTGACCATGTTCTTACTAGAGGTAATTTTGAGATTCAGGATGAGGAAAGGTAGTGGAAATTTCCCTTTCCTGCAGATTAATATTAATATAACCACTATATATACCGTAATTATTAATGCCTTTTAAAGCAGATTAAGTTATAGATCTAATGATACGTTTATATATATATATCATGCTTATAATGGCTTTTTTTTTTTTTTTCTTCTATTTTTCACACAAATATCACTTTTAGAGCCCACTGACTTGGAAGCATATAAATCACAATTCTTCAGCATATATAAAATCACTTTCAAGTGTTTTAAGCAAGGATGTAAGTGTTTTTAGGTCTTCAATTTGAATTCTGTTGCTCAATTACATATTTATTACCCACCCAGAAGTTTACTGTGTGCATACTGCACTTAAAAAGCCAATGAATTACTATGTGTTTAAGTATCCATGCTTGATGTTTATAGTGAATCAAAAGTGGAGGAAAAATGAAGTAAGAGAAGAGTTACTATGCTGTAAGTTCACTTATCTCATGCCACTTGGACGTGGGTCAGGACCCACCTGGTATTTTGCAGCTGTAACCAGGATTTGTAAGGTTGGGCAGGGTGGGCACTTCCTTTGTGCGCAGCAGCCCTGTGAGCAGCATTCAGTCTTAGGGCTCCTGCACCAGCTACAGCTTCTGAAGTGCATCCAGCACTTGGGGTTTCTGAAGCACGTGAGGCAAAGCTATGTGGAGCAACTGGATCATGCTCAATCATGGCACCTGGTAAAATGCCGTAACATTACCATGGTAAACAACAATTTCAATATCAGAGCGGTTCAGTCCTTGAGGTCCTTGAGGAAGAGGATCGTAAATATTACAGTCTTTACTAAAGGCCTAATTCTATTTCAGCTGTTATGAGTAGCAGTTTTCCATTGACTCCAGTGGCAGGGGAGTTAAATTAATATTGAGTGCTTCTGAAAATCTGGCTATGGCTCAAGACTCCTAGCTCTAATTTTAATTCCATTTGCTATGTGACTGGTGCTAATTATTTCATTTCAGTGTTTTTCCTACCTTAACGCTGACAATTTACTTTGGTCACACCAAAAGTTTTCAGAGCAGTTGAACAATTTTAACATATTCTCAGGTAATCTGTAATACCTGAGTGAAATGACAACTAGGGAAAATGTTTTATGCCGCTTATTCCTTCCACGCAGAATATTTTGCATTTTGTCAGAGAAGCTATTTTTACTCTTGGTATTTAAAAACATGCAGAAGCAGTTAAACAAATCAGAGGCAAAATATTCCCAGACTCTTTACTTCCTATGATAGAACAGCAGGGAGGAATGCTAACAGCTAAGTTATGAACTTCCATGTTTTCATCATTTTTTGTTAGAACTTTCCCCTACTGCCAAAACTCAATTTGCAGTGTTCTTTCTTGACCACTGCATAAAAAACAAAGGCTTTGTGGCTGTTCTTCCTTTGAATTATTGCATCCATGTGTTCTTCAGTGTGAATGACATGGTATGTTAAATTTGTGTGCTTACTAATTATCACTAACTACTGTTGTCACAAAATATAGCTGTAATATGCTTCATAACAGTACGTTATGCAGCAAGGTCCCACGTTACATTGGCTTGTAAATAAAATGATACCAAGAAGAACAGTTTAACGTTTCCTTTGTGTAACCTCACAGAGCTGTGGCATCTGCAGTTTCATCTCTATGCTAGGGAAATGAGGCATAACAAAATACCAGAATTGCTTTTTTCTACATCTGAAATGTTTCTCAGTTGGAAGTTTTTTCACTTTCTTGGTTTCATGTATTTTAATTCTAACTTATTTCCAATATCGTGGTGCAGAATAAATACAATAAATTTTAAAATCAAATATTTAAATAAATATAATTATTATAAAAATATAATAAGTATGGCTATAGAAAGGATCTGATTTCCCATACTGGTTTTTTTTTTTTTTTTTTTTTTAATTCAGTAGTGTCCATTGTTGGTAAAACACAGCTAATTACTGGAAAGATGATGTGTGGCACTTGGAAATAATGGCATGAGGCTCCTTGTGCTTCCCTCAGGTGTGTAGCAAAGGAATGTGGCGAAATTCAAATCTAGTTTCCAGAATGACAGAAAAAAGTAGCGAAGTCTAAACAGACTGAATCAGCATGAGGGAATTTAGATGCTCTTCAGTGAAAAAAAAAAAAAAAAAACAACAACAACAAAGCAACAGCAAAACACAACAAAACCCTAATTTACTGATGTCTTTATTCTTTAAAGAATCCCCAATGGCATAGATATCTTTAAGTGTACTTAAGAAAGAATTGCCTTACAGATTTTCATTTATCTCAAGATTTGTCGTCTTAAAGCCATTCCCACAGCCCTGAAGTGAAAACTGGGTGGAGGATAAAGTTTGGTGTCTTCATTTACTGAATTGTTAATTAATTCTTTTTGAGGCAAACCACAAGGAACCTGAGATTTACTTCCTTTTCTTGATCTGTTTTCTGGCTAATCTTACCACTTGAAGCTTTTCCTGTTGAAGAGTATTACAGAAACATCCAAAGCCTAAAAGAGGAATTTTTTGAACACCATATCTGTTCTCTTCTTGAGTGAGCACTAATTTTTCTGAGATGGCCTGCAATTTATTTCAGTCGCCTTGGATTTCTTACCGCTTCATTTTTGCTACAACGAAAATTCAGCTCTTTTCATATGCAAATGAAAATAGCTGTAAGGTCTTAAAGAATCTTCTCCTTTTTATTTTGACTACCTGGTCCAAGTTTCTATTTTAAGTATAAAGAATTGCGTAGACTGCCAGTTACATAGTTAGAGAAACATTTAATTAGATTATTTTAAATGGCCGTTTTCAACACTACATTAAAGCATTTTAATAATTTTTGGTGCCTTAGAATAACCTTTTAATGTGCAGGGTTTTTTTTTTTTACAATACATTGTCCTCCTTATTTTACTCTAAAAAATATTCAGTAATGGTTTATGATCTTTTATTAGCCTCAAAACACATTTTTTTTCCTACTTAAAGTCTGGTTCCCACCATTACATGTGATTTTTGGCAATTAGAAGAGTACTGACACCATTTGCTTAACAACTAACTGCAATGCAGGGATGTTAATCACCAATTCCCTGTGTCTCAGTCACAGATTTCAGTATATGTCCCACCTTAAAGATCACACTGCAGCATAAGTAGAAAAAACGAAAATTTTAAGCAGTGGTAATCTGAAAGCAAGTCTCTCCTTTCCTGCCAGGAACAAATGTGTATGACGTGCAGTATATAGCTTACATGCATAGTTTATAAAGCAGCTAATTTTACTGTATCCATTTTAACTTTGTAAATGCAGACGATTTTTTATGTGCATTGAGAACTGATGGTGGTATCTTTCTGAATACCTGTGCCTTTTCAAACTAGATTTATTTATCAGGAAAAGGAAATGCTTCAGTACTTAACATTCTGTCACTGATGATAAAAATTCATTGGTTACTTCTGTGCATGCAGTTACTCTCCCATCACAGCAAGTAATCATTCTCTTTATCAATGATATTTAATTAAAGTTTCAGTGTGGAGAGTTGGTTTGTGTCTACGTGACTGCACGCATTCAGTTACTGGGGTAAAAATATTTTTCACTCTTATACCTTAAATTTGGAAGTACTTACATTTATGGGGGATTTTCTTGACCCACTTGCTATAGTAAGACAAAATCAATTCTGAAAAGTTCATTCTCATCATCTCCATTTATAACTATCATTTTATATTTTGTTAAGAGAGAAACTGATATCTTAAATGAGTAACTCCAGGAACGGGATCTTTTCTCTGCTTTGAAAAATGTAGTACAAACTTTCTTATCTATTTGTGAGGCAAAATGAGTATGAAATCTGTAGAACATCAGCTGAAAAGGGAAAGAGTAAATGAAATAATACCTCCACAGCTGCCTTAGCTCTTTCAAATTCCTCTTCCAGTGAGTGATTTCTTGAGAGAAGAGGCCCTCCCCAACGCTGCTCCTTAGTTGATCGCACCTAACAAAAATAAAAGCATCAGAATGGGATGATGTACTCTGCCATGTTTCTGAGTTATTTCCTTAACTGCTTGGAGCACAAAATGTCCTTTTTCGTGGGCAAAACTAGTTGTGTCCTTGCAGGAATTCTCCTGTGCTGTAGAAAGATCATTCCTCATTAGAAGCAGAATAACTTGTCTTTCCTAGAGTTTTCTTATTCCTTAGGATGCTTTAAAGACAAAAGAGAGCCAAGAAAAGACAGTGGAAGAGTTGGGCTAGCAGGGTAATAGATGGCTGTTTTGTTAAGACTTTTATCTTAATTGTTGCTACTCCTGTATTATGACCATTGTAATGCATTCCACCCATTAGAGAAGCAGGTTTGCTATGACTTTAACTGGAGGGATAAATCCAATTTACAATCAGTAGCGCTCTGTTCTGCACCATAATATCAATCATAATGTCAATCCTATTGGAAGTACATAGCCATTTCCCCCTATTTCTTTATTAAAAATATTTTATTCATTCTTTTTGCATAAAAGGCACGGTACAAAAGCAAGCAGTATTCAGTGATAACTTAGAAAACAACGAAGTGGCTTAATCTTGCAAAAGAGCTCTGAGTGCTAATCTCTTCCCTTGTGTTTGTTAGAGGTTACACGCATTAGTTATTTGCCTGACCAGGATCCTAACTGCATTAATTTACATGATGATATTACAGATGACTGTGCTTATAATATTTATTTGCAATAAGCTGTGTTGGAAAGAACTGATTTTTGCTCATTTCAGACACACGGGGCTGTCTGCAAGTGTTGACACGTGCATTGCTGGCATGAAACACGCAGTACGTTCGTGTATGTTCACATGATGTGTATCTTTCTCTGTATACTTGTGCCTTTTTAACTAAGAAGATGACATACCTGTGTCAGTCTAGCCCTAAAATTTCTGTTTTGTTCCTATGCACTTTAACAATAAACAGAACTTCAGACAAAAGATGTAACTGTTTCAAACAGTCTCTTTCTATATGGGTATGTAATGCTGTCATATGATAAAATGAAACTGATGTTCTACAGAGAATAAGTGGAGGTTGTCTGGATTACACGTCTTTGAGGAAGGTGCTTGGATTTAATTTAAAGTTACCAGGAGACCTTAATTTTATCACTGTTTGGAAATTTAATTGACCTCCTTGTTTCTCTTAGTCCTTTTAATTTCAGTTTTACAGCTATTACTTCTTAGCCTTTCTTCAGTAGTTTAAAGCATGTTTAGTATTCCTTATTTTCTCTGTGGAAAAATACCCATTACTTTAATTAGGTTTTAACTGTCTTTTAAAAGATGTAAAGAGATTAAGATCTTAGCTCATTAGGAGTTGTTTTGTTCCTCAGACTTTAACCTTTTTTTGGTTCCTTTTACTTTCCCTCATTAATTGGTTATAGCTTAAATACATAGCCATGCAGATAACAAAAGCGAACACTATAGCCCAATACCTGTATTGCTGTTTCTTTTTAAAGTGAGCAAAAGATCTCCTGTTCCCAGAAATTATGGCTTTTTCTCCATGCTTTTCTTGTCCCCATACTGCACAGGGAGCACTCATTGACATCCCTGTACACTCTGAGACATAGATCCTCTTCAGAATTGCCTTCCAGTGTAGTGTTATAGAGCCTGCACTGTCACTCAGAAACATGATTTTTTGAGTGGTTGTGTTGGAATTCTTAGTTATCTAATAGGTATCTTGGTCACCAACTCATTTTCATGACTGTCTTCCTTATGTTTTCTCCATTCCATTCTTGCATTATTTACAGGTTTTACCAGTGGCTTGCATATTTATTTTAAGATCAATAATATTGAAGAAATTATTTCTCTTTGCAGTCACCGAAGAACTCTGCCATATGCTTTAAGTTCCAAGTAAAAACCTGCTGTTCTTGAGAACCTAAATTTAGCCAGTTTTATTCTTTTTAACAGTTACTAATTTTTTAATCAGGATATAGCGTGCTGAGTTAAACATCTCATTGAGTATCACAGAGCAACGTTTATCAATCCAACCTGTAATCTGATCAGAGAATGAAATCTGCTTTTGACATAAAATTCTGTTGATAGACATTAATTATGTTCCTTGCCTTTTCATTATTTATGAGTTGACTTTTGCCAGATGTTTGACTGCATCAGCTTTAGAATCCTTTCTTTCTAGTGACTGTAATTTCCTTAGGTCAAAGACAGTACCATAAATCATGATGCTTAGACTGATTTGTGCTGTAGAAGGGGACAGCGAACTTGTTAAGGCAACAGAGAGGTGAGGGGAAGAGGATAAGAAAGAAGCATAGAAGTTCCTTTCTCTGCCATGTGTCAGAGCATACGCACTCTCCTTGCATAATCCACACAGGATACACCTTCTCCTCCATTAAATGCACACGTGCTCTCAGTCAGAGGGGACAGAAGTAGCAAAAACCCACGTAAGCTGCATTTGCATATAGACAATGCAGCCTTATTTTGATTTGCCATAATCCAGAAATGAAAAAACCCACACGTAGCAAGCATGCTGCCTTTCACTAGTGCAGGAAGAGAAGGGATGGAAATGGAGCGCCAGCACTGGAGAACTTCACATCTCCAGCTGGTGATGGACTAGTACTCTGCAGCCACATCCCTAAGGGGAGTCCAGCGTGTATTATGGGTCAAGGTGGAATGGGTATGTCTGAGGCATGGACAGTCTGCATACACTGTGGTTTGATATGCTCACCACTCTACAGCGGAGGTGCTGTAGTTGATCATTGGCTGCTGTCTTCAGGGGCAAAATCTTCCGTTCCAGTACATTTGTGCACACCTTCCTGCGCTTGTAGTCTGCTTATGTGCTGTTGGACCTTAACTGTTGGTGAGAGGCTTAAATTATAGTCTTAATTTTTGAGCAGGTCTTCAAATAATGAGCTTAATCTGTCCCTTGTAACTTAATTTTATTAGAGTAACTGGCACGTCCAAAAAGAGCCAGGCCATTCATTAGTCTTATCATAGCTATCTGGAAGAAATGTGGAATAAATTATGCATTCTAAATATTGCTTCCAAAGCTGCAGATTACTAATGCTCTGCAGTCTTTGGGATACATCTTAGTCTTAAGAGTGTTGAAGCAGTAGAACTAGGTGTAGTTTTTAGTATGTCGAGGTTTTTTGTTTATGCATTCTGAAAGAGCAATACAACGTCTAACATACCTAGAGAGGGCCAAGATTTAAATTGTATTTTGAGAGTTAAAACATAAGCAGACTTCATGCATGTATGTTTGAACTTACTGTCTCCTTTTGCTTTTTGGAATTGTCAGAGAGAAAACAAACTTTCAGAAACCCCCATCCACTGTAGGGTATCTTGTACCAATAAACCCATAACAAGGAACTTTTCATTATGGCAGATAAAAGAAAGAAAAAAGATACTTAGTCTGATGCAGCTTAAGAATTAGTAGGGAACATACATTGTGAACGGAATACTAAGAAGCAAGTTGGCCACATCCAGTGACAGCTACCATGCTGTTGCCCTGTCCAACCTTCAAACACATTTCCTCCTTATTAATTCAGAGCTTGCCTTTGTGATGTATGACATAAGTGCTGGTAAATGCAGGATTTTGTTAAGAAGATTGTATAATCTTAATGAGAAAATGTAACCTAGTTGCTTAGTATTTCACTTGGAGGAACTAAATCTAACATGTCAAAGATGAGTGATGATGATGATTGTCTCAGAAACTGCTGATAGCTAACTGCAGCAAGTTTGACAGGATGAAATCTTTAGGGTAAGGCAGTGTCTGTTGTATCTGCAAAGGTTATCCTTTAAATGAGATAGACAAGATCTATGGAGGACAAAGTATGGAAAACACATGCTCTGATAAAAGTGCTAATGTGATTTCTTTTACAAACAGATTAAGAACTCTGTCAAGACAGATGAGCCTGGTTTTGGGGAACTGACAACTTTGGCAGTCCACATATAAGCAGGATAGAGCAGGCAGTGAATGAAAACACTACATTTCTGTGTAAACTAGCCAAAATAAGAACTTTAGGTCACTTATTTGCATTATTAATTACTAGGTCAGCATTTCATGACTTGAAGGGATTGCAAGTTTGAAGAAAGAACAGCTTATGATAAAGCAAAACAAAACATGAAATATGCTAAAGCATCAGATAGGAATTTTATATTCTGCCTATTCCACAAGTTGGCTGGTCCAACTTAACACTTTTTTTATTTTGAAATACTGTCAATTTTACAAAATACTACAGAGATGCTAATGATTGAATCTAAACCAAGGGATAAATGCTATTTTTTGCTCTTTCAGTTATTCTAGTGTAAGATAAACAGGAAATAGACATATAAATTAGAGATTTTACATACTAAATTTGCAATTGCTTTTCCAGAGAGCAGCAGCACTTAGATTCTGGAACAGTCTACTTCATTTACACACATCTAAGTTAAACATAATTATTACTAATAGTTATTATTATATGTACTATTAGACTGAAGAAAAAGTGTTTGGGGGCTCTTGAAGATGAGAAGGACGATGCTTGTGAAAACATGTTGTCTGTCTAAGGCTGATGATATTGTGCAACAGATCTTTTCCATTAAAGTTATGCATATTGTACAGAAAGAAGGCATTATGCATTGGAATTCATGTTAGGCTTTCCAAGGGGGAAAAATCCTGTTTGCAATGTAAAAAAGGCAGTGAAGAAGAGACGACTTTTTCTCTAACAACACAGAAATGAGCCTCTTTCTGTTTTCTGCAAAAAGTAGTGCATGATCTCAGGAAAGGCATTTGGCAATTTGGTACCTCATTTTTTCATTTTCAAATGGGGCCATTAACTTTCATTAATTTCCAGATTTTCTGTCTGACAGAAAGCTTTTCGAGTGCAGGCATAAAAATAGCTGTGGAAGAAGAAAAGTTGTTTTTAACTAGAAGTGAATCCACTGAACAACTCTCTCTCTCCTGTCAGTAGCATTAGCTGAATTTGAAAACTTTTGGATAAGAAATAAAATGCAGGAAAGAAGATGAATATGCAACGTGAACTAAATGAATGCATATATAAATGTATGTTCATACACATTTATGCATACATACATACTTAATACCTTACAACTTTCAGTAATTTCTACAAAGTCCTGTTCAGGGTTACCCTATGAGAGTGGAACTGGGCAAATCTACAAGCATGCAGCCCTGAGACCTCTGTTTTGGAGTTCATTTTCCAGCAGGAAAAAGTTCTTTGAACACATTGCTCCCCCTCTCATGGAGGTAAATTACTAAACAATGTTGGCCTCACATATTGCTTATCATTTCCCAATGTTGTGTATTTCTGATTCACCAAGAGACCTTGAAAAAAGTTATATTTCAGGGATAAACAACAACTACAAGTTCAAATTTCAGAACTGGAAGAAGGGAAGGAAGATGCTGCTGTAAATTGTATTTTGAGGCCTTTTGGACAGGAAGGTCACAGTTCCCTGCAGTATTAAACTGAATTTTTGAAGATGATGAAATAGTTAGGCTGGTTTGTAACATTAATTTGGAAGCTGTGTGAAGATTCAGCTGTGTAAGGATTTTAACTGATGATCCTGAACATATCCCTTAAATATTTCGTCCAGCATGTGAGTAGTTTGCCAATGGGACAATTCCTGCTTGCCTCTTCAATGTTACTAAATCTACCAAATGTCTCTTACCTGTACTGCAGGTGCTACTTCTAGTTCTGATGTTGAATCAGTGTCGAAAGCGCTCTTGACATTAGTCAGCTCAGACTGCGATCTATTTTCTGTGGACCTAGAAATAACACATTTACAGACTTACCACTGTACGCTGATACGCTGCCTTATGTATTTCAGGCTTACAGCCCGTGCTGGCCAATTAGTTTATTTCTTTTTGCTGAGCTGTTGAACTTGGAGATATCAAAGGTGCCTGGAGCCTCCTGAGTGTTCCTGCTATTCGGTTGTTCAGTCCCATGCAGACAATAGTTAATGCAACGGAATCAGGCCTAATTTACCAGTAAAGCACTGAGCATATATGAGCATGAACCCAGTCTAGTGCAACGGAGATGATGTCTCTATGACTTCATAGTAAAGCAAAATGAGGTTTGGTAATGGCGCAAGACTGCAACTGCAGTCTTTGTCTAACAATTAACCACTGCTTTACAAGACTTCAGCCTCGCTTATGTGCTCTTTTTTTTTTCTTTTGTGCCACTATATCATAATATTCTTACTTAGAAAACAAATGAAAGCAAAATTTGTACCATAAAAGCTCTTTTGATTGAGCTCTAGATGATGATGATGATGTTCGTTCTGCAGAAGGATGGACCTTGCAGTTCCTGTCTCCAGGAAAATTGACATCGTCCCATTTCTCAATCTGTGTCTGAATATCAACTGAAAGATAAGAAAAGAAGAAATGAATCTTTCAAAGAAACTGCTGTTTCTTAAATTAATTTTCCTCTGTTAAGTAAATGTTCAGAAGAAATTGTGAAGCTGCATCACCAAGTATTGTTTTAATTAAGGTCCAATATACACAAATGCTGTGCACCTTTCTTGCAGATATTCTCAAAAAATATTTGGAATTTGCAACATTTGCTAAACAATGATTTTTAAGGCTGTGTTTTAGTTTCAGCTGAGGTGGAATTGTTTTCTTTAGAGGGTCTGGCATGGTGTTACAGCATTCACAGTCAGAATGTCAGTGGAAATCTTGACTTAAAATCGGTGATTTGTGTGTCAGATCTGATTAAATTCTAGTTAGGAATATTTAATATGTTTGTATTGTATTCAGATTATAGAAATAGAACTTCTAGTGACTACCACTTACAAGTGACTGTGCAGGCAGCCAATAGGATTCAGTGATGTTTGCGAAAATGAGATGTTTAACTCCTGTTTGAAGATAAAGTTCTGTAAAAGAATTTCTGGGCTGATGAATGGAACATTTCCTACCTTGGTATAAATTACATTTACCTTGCAAATTTCTCAATTGCAATGCAAGTAATTTAGTTTGTATGGAACTAAATTAAGTTCACCTTTTCCAAAGCTCATCAGTAGATCACGCTTGGCAGGATTTTGAGTTGTGTTTGGGTTTTTTGTCCAAATGTGTAACTCTTTTATCAAGAATGGAACTTTTTTCTTTAGTATGCATGATGAAACAGTATTAAAAAAAGACTGTGTAATTATTTGTAGCATTTGCAGTTCTGAAAAGGACACTCAGTGCAGCCTGTCTCTAATGTGGGTTCTTTTCTCATGATATCCCTCTACATTTTTTTGCTTTTACTGATCCTGTCTAAATTCTTTCTTGGAAACTCAGATCTTGTTTGCAAATTTACTGACAGCTTTTTAGGTGTATCAAAAAAGGCAAAATTTACACAAAGTTAAGCATACACTCCCTGTTAAAGTGCAGTGCAACAAAAAGTCTCATCTTGCTCACTATTTTGTGCTAAGAAATAAACCTGTGCTAAGCAAGGCTGTGTAATGCTGATATAATAGCTACACTCTTACCTAAATCTAGTGAAGACTTGTCTGAAACTCTGACAGTCTGAACTTTGTGTTCAGTATCCACACTGATAAGGTCAGAATTGTCTGTCTTCTTTCTGTGGGCTGAAGTTTTTAAGCCTTCACCTCTTGATGGATTCTCTGATTTCTTTGCTTTGTTTTGGGTTTGTAAGGCAGGTTCACTAAGATCCAAGAGATCCAGACCTGTTGATAATACTTAGAGACAAAATGTTAGAATTCAGTGTTGTTTTAATTCAAATAACTCGCATTTGTTTTGTTGTTGTTTTTTCTTAGTTGGAACATGATTTAATGAATTAGACTATAGTAGATGTATCTTTCCAGGCTAAGGCTATCGACTAGCAAATTCAATTATAACTAGTGATTTCAGGTGCTTAACTGGGTGAAGTTTAAAAAAAAAAACTGATTTGCAAGAAAAGCTTTCACTCTGAGAGTCTTAAGATTGTAGCCTAAGACCACATTTCCTTCTGTTTTGAAGGTTTCTTGTACAATTAAACATTTAGATTAGATTTAGTTTAATGCTATGACTTATCGTGTATTGATAAAAGTTGCTTAGTGCACTACTAAGTCACATGCCAGTAAGCAAAAAAAAGGAAGAGTGGACAACTTTCTCTAACATTTAATTGAGAGATTTCCTTTTCAAAGATGCTGAATTATGCTTATTTTCATTAAACAACTACTTTAAATAACTTAAAAAACATATTTCTGAAAAAACTGAACCCATCTTTCTTGTTCTGGAAGGCAACTCACCTTAGTTTCTTAGAACTAAGCATGATCAATTGAGCCATTGATTTGTGGCACTAAAGGATATGTCTTGGTAATGGAACTCTGTAGGTAATGTTGGTGGTTGGCCTTGGTGATCTTGGAAGTCTTTTCCAACCCAAATGATTCTATGATTATTTGATTCTGTAAGGTTAAAAATGTTCCAACTTCGCACTCTCAGTGTTTCTGGACAAAACTTAAAAACAGAGAGGCGAGTTCATGTTAGTTCACTGTGAGTCTGTCTTCTTTTAGATTCTTCAAAAAATCACAGTATAAACTGTGTTTTGTGTCATTTAAAGGAATTACGATCAAATTCTATCATAAATATTAGAATATATTGCTGGACAAAACAAATGTGAAGTTTGTGAAGTTAATGAATCTTTTTAAGATAAGAAAGGAACCAGAGAAAACAAGAGCTGTGTTTGATTCATCCAGGTGTTAAAGTTTGGCAAAAACCAATAGATGCCACTATTTTCCAAAGGCTACATCTGCTAGAGATGCAAAATACATATGAAGGGTGAGAAAGAAGAAGTTGTGCAAGAAAAGTTGCAAACAGAGCTAGCTCTGGCACGGAGAGTATGATCCTAATAAAAAGAGAGCTGTGGATCTAAATCATGGCTGGCAAAGGATCTGAGATTCTCAAAGTTAAGGGTTTTGCTGTACTGAAAGAAGGCTATTGCACAGAGGACTGTAATGTAATCTTTTCCTCCTGGAAAAAATCTCTGTTGCCTGAAATTTGACCAACTTCTCTTGTCAAAAAAAAAAAACAAGTTTGTGGTTATTAACTGTATCTACTGTCATTGCTGTGTGTCCTTTTCAGGATGAATATTGCATATAATAATAAAATACATTGCTTTAGCTTATAAAGACTGTATCTATATGTAAGCCAGTCTTCAGTCCGAGTTTTATATTTATGAGTTATTTGAAGAGTAACAGTTGAAATTCTTTAGCATGTAAAGAACAGGAAAACTTCATTATCAGTTTGTAGGGGAGGTGTTTTTGGCACATGAATTAGCGTTGTCTCTTGTAGTGCTTTAGCTATGTTCTTAGGAAATTACCAAATTTCATCAGTCTTCATAGAATAGAAAACTTTGTTATTAAGTACATCTGATACTCAGGGCAGATAGAGGATTTGATGCAGAAATAGGCTATTTAGTTTTACAACAAACAACAGTCTTAAACAACCTGAAACATTTATATTCATCTCTGTAATATCTTTAGCTACCAAAAAGGAAATAATATTTACAAGGGTTCATTCAATTCTGTGTTCCAATTTTGTTATTAGAACTCATATACTGCTTTAGACATATAACAATATAATTAGATGTGAAGATAATCACTGTCAATCAGTCATTTAGACATTTTAATAATTTGTGTGTATATACGCTTTAATTAAATGGCTTCTAACAAGGCAAGACATTGTATAAGACAGCAGTAGAACATAGTAATCTATTGATTTTATGCTGTTGGTCAGTCAGCTCAAATGCTTTGAATAGAAGGTGACCAACTTCTAAAAGCACTTCCGCAGGGCGCTACATTTCTCTTAATTCACACGTCTTTCAGGATTCACTCCGTATTATCTGCTTCACTATCTCAGCACAACACAAAGCAGAAAAGAAATTTATGGAATCCTTTCATTACTGAAGTTTCCCAACTTAGCCTAGATAAGCTGTTTTGATGTCTTCCCCTTTTCTCAGACATCCCATCCAAGCCTTGGTTAAAGCACATGTTTCTAAAGAATGGGTTTGGATAAAACTAAATTAACTGTGGCTTACCTGTAGGTTAAATTTTTGCAAAAACAAAGTTTGAGGGTTTGTTGAATAGATTTACACTTCCAGTTGAAGTTGCCTTTAATTCAAACTCAGAGATCTGCTGGAGTACATGTGACTTGGATCACACCAGATTTGACCTCAAAAGTAATGATCAACATTTTTTCAAATAGATCAATCAATTATAATCAGTATATAATTTTGTGCAAATGGTAACAAATCTTTTTAAGTGACTTAATGAAATCACTTGACAAAATGCACAATAATTAAAACAAATTTTTAATCTCTATTCAGGGATAGTACAGAAATTTGTTTACCTGCAGTATTTGAAGTTACAGGCCTTGCAACAGCTTCTGGTTTAGTTTCACAGAGAAAGTCATCAATGGAGGGACTCAGAAGGGGTCTGCTTTCTTGTTGCTCGTTCACTAGCTAGCAACAAAAAAACTCAGGGTCACAAAGTGTTGTGTTGGGTTGCACAGTTAAAGAAATGAAGCATTTTAGTAGAAAATCATGCTATATTTTGGATTGTTAGTGAGTAAGAGATTGAAATTAGGAGATGCACAAATAGCTCCAAACTTAACAAAGTTATATTCCAGTTTTATTATACTCCATGGTAATTATTGCATACTCTTGCTTGTAAGGCATTCAAGGTGTGATGTAACTTCCTTCGAACCAATCAGTGAAGTTGGCCTTCTCTATCAGAAGGAGACTAAGCAGGGATCTTTTAATATTTGGAAGCAGTCTTTTTTTCAGCATGCCTCTTCACAGAATTTCCACAACACCATTCCATACAGAAAATATGCATTAGCCCATTAATCAGTAAGTTGCTGAGACAGAAAACACTTCTCTGCAATACAAGGACATATGAATGACAGTGGATGGTCCCTGGTGAGTTTATGAACTTCCTGCATGAGTTTTGACTGTATGAAGACTCATAATACAGTTTGTATTTATGAGTAGTTTTCCTTTTTTATTGTAATTGTGGTTGTGCGTTGGTTTTCTACTACATAAAAGAAATCTCCATACTACAGGCTTTTCATGTATGAAGTATTTTAAAAGATAAGCAGAATGGTCTCATAAATAAAAATCTCGTCTCTACTATCATGCTCTGAAAGATCAAGCGCAATGGTGAGCTGGACAGACAACTGATGGTGTGCCCTGCATTGATTTCATCTTAATAATAATGAACAGTTTTCTCTGTGTCTGTTACTTTCATCCTGAGCTCTTTCAGCCTTACTGTAATCCTCTCTCCTCCATTCCCGTCTGTTTTTCCTCTTTCTGCTGTCGAGTTATCCAGCTGTTCTCTTATGCGTATTTGAACTTTTGAATTGAAGATGCTAATATGGAGAAAAACTGGCAGAAAAAGGCATTCCTTTATCCTCATTTCATGTTTATTAATTACTACTATTTAGCTACCATAGTAATGGTATTGCCACTAAAGTTACTATGGCAAAACAGCTTAGGTTCACTGTCATTAGTTACTTGATTTTTGTATTCCAGTGTTGCAAGGAAATACTTTTTACTTCAAAAGCCCATAATTTTGATAGATCAAACTTCTAAGCTGGTACTAAAAGCTGGCTGGCTGCATAATATGTGCGCTCATTTATTTGCCTGGAATCTTACGGTTTTGTACTGAAATATCAATTTAAATGACTAACATGGAAGACAGATAAATGATTGCTTGCCCAACTGTATGTAGCAGAATGTGGAAATGTGGGCATTTAGTTAAGAAATCTGGCAGTGGTACTGTCTCAAACTCTACTTCTGCATGCTAAACCGAGACTGCAGCTGCACCTTATAAGGGGAATCAATCAGTTGTTTTATAACTATCTGCATTGAGCACTCACTGTCAGATGTTATTTGCTTAATTTGGTAAATCTCAAGATTGATTGGAAATTGCTTTTATACCAGCTGAACAACTTTGATTTCCATTAAAGGGGGCTCTACTTTGTCCATGTTATCTCTAGCTGTATATATTTACCTAGTATTTAAGTAATTAAGTATTTAAGACTTAAGATGACTTAGGACATCTCTATAGATGCATTTTTGTCTGTGCTTTGGTGATCTATTGGTGGAAAAAAAACAAGAGTGGGTGCCTAGGTAATACTTGACCAAACTAGTTTCAGTATTTTAAAGGTTTATGGTCAACTCCATATTAGCTCAATTTGTAAAATTTGCTCAAATAATTCTATATTTTCATTCTAGGCAGTAGCATCAGTAACAACTGTTGTACTTTTGCAGTAAATTGCATATTCTGGTGAGCATAGTGTCCAGCAGAAAGATTGTCAAAGCATCTGAATCATCTGTGTCTTTATTTTGTGATAAGCTACCAACTTAAAGGAAAGTCTGACATTGCTTGGAGGGGGACAGGAAGGATTACAGAAGAGTGACAGTATACCAGTAGTAATAACTGTAAATGTAAAAACTTCTATGAAGTACTCTTTCCATATATGTACAGGTATATCAGTAGGGCACATCATCATGTACAATTTAGATGCTTATCTTTACCATTAAGTTCCATGGAAATTTTCTTAGTAGGAAAGAATGAGGAAAGGAAGAAATAAATAGGGATTATGAGAACCAAGACAGCCAGGATCACTCACTGGCGACACTAGTGAAACTCTGAAGTCCAACTGCAGAGGCAATTCAATGCCCAAACCTGTTGGCAGAGCTGAGAATAAACTGTGGGAAGAGCAACAGTAATTCTGAGAATCACAATAATGAAGGAGAAGGTAAATAAAATAAAACCAGTCTCAGGTTCTCATGAGTTTGACTGATGTGTGAAGTAGCAGATGTCTATCATTTATTCTTTTTTTTTTTTTTTTTTTTTTAAAATTTTTTTTATTTTTTTTTTTTTTTTTTTTTTTTTTTTTCAAAGCTGGTTAGCACATTTCTTAATTATGTTGTTTTCATAAAAAAAGACCAGCTCAGCCACAGGAACTCATTAGTACGATACCAGAATTATTGTTCAAAGTCCCTTGATAAAATTTTTCCATCAAATTGAAGGATTTAGGGTGACATCTACTTTTTCATAATCAGCTTCGCCAGCAGACATTGAGATTTAATTTTCACAAAGTTGTGTCTTCTTTGTGATGTATTTGCAGCGTTTTCATTTAATCTGAAAAAAATAGGTTCTCTGACTCTCGCTACATGAATATGTACACTAAATTCATCAGAGATGGGCCACAGATTATCAGAGGGATAAAGAAAGCATTTTACAGTGAGACTAAAAGCAGCTGACTGGCGTAGCCTAACAAAATGAGGACTGTGTAGGAATACAATTTTTCTTCCTGTATACATAAAGGATATAGATAGATAGATAGACAGATATACAAGGGGCTGGATGACCTTGGAGGAGGAAAGCTATTTCAACTCTAAAAAGGCTGGCACAAGAATGAAGAGATCTAAGTTGGCCATGAAGAGATTTGTTCTAGAAATTAAAAGAATCTAAGTATCACAGCAGTAAAGTGTATGAACAGTATTTTTTTAGAGGGTGAGACAGAAAACCTAGCTTTTCCAGCAAGCCTCATACATGGCTGCTTATGATGTGATTGCTTATAAGAAGTTGAGTATGACCCAGAGGATCTCCAAGTCTTGTCTCTTGTGCTCTCATGACTAAGGACTGGAACTTATAGGAGTGCATTATTAAAAAGATTGTTCCTGTGAAATACAGTGTGCTTTCAACTGAAGTATTGAGGTTGAAACATGAAAGCAAATACAGGATCAAGTATGCTAATTCTTGGTATATACAAACTACATATGTATGGCAATACAACATATTAGAAAACTATGTTTTTGATGTGAAAGAGGTGTTTTGTGATGGATCAGACCTCAAGAAGTTAAATACTGCCATGAGCTGATATTTTTGCTGTAGATAAGTGGGCAGAGAGACAGGTTTCTGACATCACTGTGTTCTGACATCACGCCTCTTGGTAAGTCCTCGGTCTCACACATCGTATTTCATTTTGCTACCTCCTATATTGTACCAAATTTATCCCTGTTTTCACTCTACTCAACTTATTAGAGTTATATCAGGCATGAATTTGGAGTAGTGCTATAAAACATTCACGAGATGAAAGTTATTATCTATATTAAAGTAATAATTTATGGTTCTCAAGCACCTTTCAGGGTGAGTATCAAAGAATGCTTTAAAACATTCATGAATCAAATCTGGCAGCGCCATGGAGCCAAGAAGTATTATCTCTACTTTGCAGGCAAGAGAAGCACAGGCAGTGAAGGAAGCTGACCGGCTGTGGTGCTGGGAGCAGGAGCAGGCTGCCGGTGCTGCACAGCAGTGATGCGTGTGGTGTTTGTCCAGGCACCAAGCTGGGGAGACTCAGCCTGTGAAATTAGTGATTTCTGAGCACTCATTTAGCAACTCAGTACCATAAATTCTCATCTTGTCTCTGAGAATTTTTCTTTACAAAATCTATTCTAATGAAAAATGTGCCTCTAGCTGAAGCATACATAAAATTTGTGAAGGATGATATTCCTAACAATTTGAAGAATCTCAACCACAGTATCAAATGCTGCTCCTAAATTCAGACAGTTGTACATTCTGGCACTGCCAGCACCACAGAAAAACCCGCCTTTTTTCCCCTCAGTGCTGCCATTGAACCTTCGTGTTCCAAAAAGCAATCTGTGAACTGTGGTGCTTTGGGAGGGACATTAGGAGAGCCAGAAGCATCATTTGATGGCTAATATCAGCCTCACTCCTTACATGTGTTCACAGCGAGGGTTGTTTTGCACAGAACTGAGCTGAGACGCAGAGGCCTTCTCAGAAGGCAGTCGGGTGCTGCACCAGGGGCTGCAGACGCAACATTTCACCTCAGCAGCCGGGAGCGCTGAGGGGAATCCCCAAACCTCCATTTTCTGTGCCCTGCCACCTCATCCCCAGATGGCTGCATTCCCCCATCAGGACAGTTTATTTCTCACGGCTGCCTGCACTGGTGGATTTTTGCCTTCCTCGGTGCTCAGGTGTGGTTGGTGCTCTTTGTGCTGTCCCTAGAGCGGCTGTGAGGAAAGGAAGCGGCGGTGTGTGACGGTCCGTCTCTATGCGTTCCTCAGTGGTGAGAGGTATGTATCGGTCTGATGGGCAGGGATAAAGCAACTGGATTGGGATCAAAAGGCTCTAGAAAGTCTTGGGTGGGTTATAATATGTGTGCTGAGGGAAGGTACGGCTCCAGGAGAGGGGAGGTGGCAGCCCCACTGAAAAGGCCTGTAGCCATGAGGGGACCTCTCTTCTCTCTAGCAAATATGCAGCCTGGTCTCAGATTTCACCAATCACTTGTCCAACTCCTCCTATGCCCTATATTCATCCCTTAACTGTTCTGTGCTGTATTTTCTCCCCTTGTAAAGGAGCACCATGCTTGGTAAGTTTAATTCTCAGAGGTGCTGCTTTGTGGGCACGTGTGGGCACAGCCTGCATC